TTGCTATTTATTTTCTTCAACACATCATTTAGAATGCGAAAATGCATCATTGAGTAAATTAGGGAAGTCAAAGATGAAGCCTTAATGAGCGTTTCTTTTCTTGATGAGGTGAGTAATGCCCCCTTCCAATCACTTACCTTTGATTGGACTGTTCCGTGGAGATTTGAGAAGACCTCTATCTTACTCCTACCTAGAGTTGTCGACACACCCAAGTACTTAGAATTTGAATCTCCTTGAGGCATTTTCAGAACATTTTATGACATCATTTTCCTAAGTCAGTGAGGGATGTTTTTACTGAAATAAACTGCAGACTTTGCATTTATTCTCAAGCTAGTACAACTTTTGAATGACTAGAGAATATGATTAATTCTATGACATTGGTTTAAGTTTGCTTTGGTAGAAAGAATACAATCATCAGCATATAAGAGATGAGTTAGTTCTAGACCCTAATGACATAGCTTCATTCCTTGGAAGCCAAGCAATTCAACACCCCTCTTTAGAATATCTGTAAGGCTTTGCATAACACATACATATAGGTAGGGTAGAGTGGATCCCCTTGGCATATGCCATTTGATGGTTTAATATGACCCTTGACAGTTCCATTTGATGGTTTAATCCATTTCTCAACAAAACTCATCATCCTTAGGCTCTCCTCTAATTGTTTCCAATTTATACTATTATATGCTTTATGCATATCTAATTTGATAGCCACAGAGAAGAGTTTTCCTTTAGTTTTTTTTTTCTTTAAATAATGAAAAGCTTCATGGAGATTCTTATGTTATCTAAAATACTTCTTCCATGCAAGAATGCACTTTGAGGTTCCTCAATTATATTATTAAGCACTAATCTGAGCTTATTTTCCAGTGCCTTTGCATAAAACCTGTAAATGACATTGCAAAGGGATATTGGTCTGAACTGTTCGATTGAGAAATGACTTTTTTGCTTTGGAATCAATGCAATGTAAGTAAAATTTAACTCTTCATCAGCCTGCTCCTCATTAAACATATATTGACAAGCAAAAATTACATCACCACTCACAGTCGGCCAGAACTTTTGGATAAACTCAACATTGATTCTGTCCGGGCCTGGGGACTTTTGGGGAGGGGCACACAACAAATCATTTTGTTTAGAAGAAATGGTCAAAGGGGCGACCTGGTGACCATTGTTGTCTCTTTGAGGAGCTTCTCTATTATAAATGGCATCAAAATGATTGACAAAAGCTTCAGTGATTTGCATTTCCTTTTCTCTCCAACTTCCTTGGCCATCTTAGATTTTATAGATTCTACTTCATTGTCTTCTTCTAACAGCAGTGGCATGGAAGAAATGAGTATTTTTGTCTCCATTCTTTAACCACATAATTTTGGATTTCTGTGCCTAGAATTTTCTTTCTTGCTTTCTAATTTGATTTAACTCCTTCTGAAGAGATCCTGTTTTGTTCATGTTTTCTCCCGCGTGGAAGGCTTGGTGACATTCTTTGAATTGTCTTTTAGTGGTCATTTTCCTCTTTTCCAAATTTCCAAAAGTTTCTAAATTCTAGGTCCTCAAAGTTTGTTCAAGTTTTAAGAAGCTTTCTAACCGGATGAGTATCAGTGACATTCCATGCATTTGTTACAACCTCTTTACAAGAAGTCTTTGTTAACCACATAGATTCAAATCTGAAGGGTCTGTATCCCTTCCAATTAATTCAATTCATTTGGATTCTCATGAGAGTATAGTCTGAACCTATTCGATCTTCATATAAAACAGTTGCCTCTTGAAACAATAGACGCCAAGCATTTGTGGCAGTGGTTCTATCTAGACGGGCTTGAACATTTTCACCACTTTCTCTGCTATTCATCCAAGTGAAAGGATAACCTTAAAAACCAATATTTATCATGCATAAATTATTTAACATAACTTTAAAATCATGCATTCTAGATTTAGATGGGGGTTACCTCCTTTCTTTTCCGAAGGGTGAAGAATTTAGTTGAAATCGCCTATAATAGCCCACAATTTCTGGGATGAGGGTCTTAGACTTATAAGTCCTTGCCAAAAGTCACCACGCATTCGAGAGTTAGGTTCACCATGAATGAAAGTTACCATCTAAATGTTGATTGATAGAGGATCAGAAATGTCAAAATGGATATATCTATCTGTAGTAGCTTTGACCTCTGTTGTCACAGGCTCTTTCCAATCCAAGCATAAACCTCTAAAGAGGCCTCTTGGGCTCTTCAACACATAACGATCAAACTTCAATCTCTTACACAAATGCTTGACCACTTTATCTTTATTTTTTGTTTCTAAGAGAAACAAAATAGAGGGTCGATGGACCCTAACTAGCTCCATAAGAGACTGAACTGTTAAAGAAGAGCCCACTCCTTGACAATTCCAATATAAAAGATTCATTGGCCTTGGCGGGGGCTATTGATTGAGAGCGATTTAAAGGTAGACAAATTTTTTACTTCATTTAATTCTTTATATGAATGGAATATGAATTTCCTTCTCATGATTTTCTGGCCAGTTTCTTGAGGTTTCTTCTCCAAGGTATTTGGATTTTGCACATGTTCAATTTGTACGGGTTCTTCCTGATACCAGGACTTCTCAAAAGTGTGTTCAAGCTTCCTCTTGATTTGTCTATCCTTCCATTAACTCCCATTTTCTTCCTCCATGATCATCTGATCCTAATGCAATAATCTCATTCGTCTTGGATTCTATTCAGAAGTTTGAGAGTGCTTTGTTTCCATAATTTCCAAGTTCATGCCTATTGGATTTTTGTTTTTATACTTAGATTTGGGATATGGTGATCCGACCCAGGAGTATCTCTTTTCTTCCCAATTTTCTTATCGTTTAATTGCGTCGGGCTATCCAGCACCCAGACTACAAAAGCCATCATAGTGTTCAAAGTTGTTCTCAACTGCCTCGGGATCACCAACCTTATATCTGTTCCGCATACCAAGTCCCACTCGTCACTTGAGTTTGTACCACAGATTTCCTTCCATCTGTCTTTATTCACTTGTATAACGTCTCTCTATCCAAGTATGTGTATAGGGTTTGACCCCCACCACTAGTCGTACCAGATCCACTATCAGAATTTGTTCCTTCTCTCTCCTTGCTTTCGTCCCAACTGTTCATCCACCGATTCTGATCATCCCTTCTGTCACTAATCGAACGTTGATTTTTACAGTGCTTCTCTAGATTCCTCCCCTCCTCATAAGTGTTTGTGTCTTCTTTTGGGGCTCTTTTCAGTCTTGGAGTAGTCTTTTTCATCCATGGTCCAAATGGTCTTGGAGTTTGAATAGATTCCCTACTATTCGTTGTGTCTTCTTCCTCATCTTCGCTCGAAGATACTCCTTCCTTATTTGCTGAGTGACAACTGGTATCAATATGTCCAATAAAACACAACTGTAACAGAAGTTTGGGAGTTTTTCGTACCTTACACTTACATCGGATCCACATATTTTTTGATCTTTACACTCACCCTTGGTTTAAGAGGGGATGAGGGAATAACTCATGGATAGCATATCTGAGCCCGTGTTTGGCACCACCGCCAGCTAGATGACCAAGACCAATAAAAAAGGTTTGGTCAGATTAGATTAGACTAGAATCCCACTAAATTCATGTCAAGTGTAAAGCCATTGGATTTTTTGTTTAAGTAGTTCCTTGTTGACAAATTCTAGGCTTTGTGTCCTATTGTCCAGTGGCACTTAGAAGAAGAAGCAACTACTATCTCCACCACCATAGTAGCCTTAACAAGCAAGATAGATGATATTGCAATTGATTGTGTTCTCATCAAGAAGTGAGTGTAGGGGTTAGCCATCGGTGTCGGCATTGAGGATTGGAGATTTTGCATGCATCATGATTCATGGATTGGAATCTCTCATTCCCTTATGCACGTTGGTGATTCATCATCATGCCCTCCAAGTAGTGTTGTTGGTATGACCGTATGGGTTTTCGTGGAGCATCTCAGGCTTCTCCGTTGGAAGTATGTACCACCACTGGCATTCATTGTTGCTGCCCATGGAGTTGAGATCTTTTGCCAAAGGACCTACCAACATGATCTGGCACCGCACATCTTACTATGAGTCTGGGACCTACCATAAAAGTAGGACAGACCATGTATGAGATGTGCGGTGTTAAATTGTGTTGGTAGGATGTTGGAACATGTTTTGTTGGTAGGTGATCTGGACTCTTGCCCATAAGCCATGCCTAGATCTGCTCACAACATAATAATTTCCAACATGGTCTGTGTCTGCACATCGCAAATATGGTGGGTCCCAGTTTTATGATGGGCTCCAATCTCATGGTGAAATGGGCGGACACAAATCATATTGGGATAGTTTTTGTTGTGTGTATTGAGTAGGGCTATCAATGGGTTGGGTCTGGGTCAAGACATGCTAGAAGCCTAGAACCCAAACCAACTTGACAAGATAGTGAGTGGAAGTAACTATGATTCCAGAAAAACTTGTATCCAATTAACCAATATCAACCAATCACGTGGTATTTATTAAAAAATATTTTCCACCTCAGAATTTTTTATTGATTTTTTTTTTTTATTTTTTTACCAATACCTTTACCTATCATTCACTACTAATTATCCCTTCATTTTTTATAGTATCCCCCATGGTTTTCGAACCATCGTTGACCTGGATAGTCAGACTGTTTGGCCCAAAAACCATCTAGGCAACTAGTTTCATTTCACCCTTAATTGGTTTTTTTTGGCCAAAAAATCATTAATTTGGTAAGCGATATACTAACCCAAGTGATCGAGCCATTGACCTATTCGAGCCAGACTGGTTTTTTACTGTTTTTATTTTAATTATTTTTATTTTAAAATTAAAATGAATCGTCCATATCAAATGGTTGAACCGCTGACCCAAAAACCTATAGTCAAAGCGGTTCGATCTGTGGATCGGTTTTTAAAACATTGGGTATCTTTCACTTATCACTGTTCTGAACTGTAAAAATCCCCCAAATTAAACCGGGGGTTTAATGAATTCGGATTTGGTCCTCATATTCCCAATGCACGGCTGCAAGGGTCTGTTAGGACGGTTTTGTGAGGACCAAAATCCGATTTCGAGTTTGATCGGCCGAAGGGTAGACAAAGAGGAGCTAAGGTGAGACGTCCATGGCATGACAGCGAGTTTCCGGCATGCACTCCGGGAAAAAGATCCTCCACTTCTGGCTCTCGGGCGGGCTTATCCTGCACCATCTGCTTCGACGCTCTCTGGTTTTTCTATTGTACGCACACACGGTTCTTCCTACATTTAGAGAAACTTTTGATTCAGTTCTGTTGGTTTAATTCATGGTTGCAACCAAAGAAAAAGATAAAATAGTTTTTTGTTTTTTATCACAATATCTCTACTATTCTGGTTGCTTCATCTGAACTTACCGTTTTTCAGTTTACGTACCTGCGAATTTATTTAGTTTTTCGTTTGATCTTAACAATTGATGCATATAATTGCTAAAAATGCTGTTGCATGTCCATTCGATGCTAATATGATGTCAATGATGCGGTTCCTTCATAAATTGTTAATGTGAGATACTGCTATATATTGAGCTAGACGATAATGCATTGACATATGTGTCGTCCTCGGGAAGTTGAAGATATCAATCCAAAGGAGTTGTAATAACATATTTGGGATCAAAGATAAGTAACTGTGTTGGAACTTGGAAGATGTGGTTAGTTTGAAGTAGTTTGGTTGTCTTTAAACACGAAGAGTTGACAATCTGGACCCCACATTCTGGTTGAGAAGCTACTGGTCGGAATTCCTCAGCTTGCCTTTTGTTGGTCTGCGGGTGAAGGTTGTTGGAGAGAGGGTCAATATCATAGGGGATTAAAACCTCTCATTCGTGTGATCCCTTGCATTTTAAGGAGAATTCTTGTTTTGATGTGATGTAGTTCTCAGAAATAAGAGGGGATTCCTAAGCTTTGGCCTTCTGGAGATATGGGAACTTGGTTTGAGATAACTCAAACCACCAATCTTTATGGTATGCTCATGCTTATATACTTTGTTTATGAGCAAACAAGGCAGCTTTTACATTTAATTGGCTTGCATGCACAAGATGCATGCATCGGATGTTTTAAATTAATTTATTAATTGTATTTAGTGTAAGAAGTGAATTATTATAGCACTGAGCAAAGTGACAATGGATAACAAAATTAGAGGAGCCAATTGGGATCAGGGAGGACAAAGTTAGTTTGATTTCATCCCAAGACTGTATTAGGGTGGGGGAGTTTGGAGGGGCAGGAAGACTAATCACTTGGTTATTTGAGTTGATTTGATGCTGGGGTGTGACTTGGTGGGTTGTGTCATTTTGGATCTAGCATATCATGGTTCCTTGGGTGATATTGGTTAGAGGGAAATAGGGAACTGGGAAGCATCATGGCGGGAGAGGGTTGCCTGTTTTTGAGTTGTTGGTGATTTTTATTTCTTTTTCTTTTTTGATTGTTTCTTTCCTCTCCTCCATTCCCCTATTTTGGGAGCCATCCCCTTTCTTTGTTTCCCTTAGTTTAGTTTTCTAGTTGGAGTTATTCTGTTTCTCCAAATTGCTATTTATCTAGCATGTCTCAGAAGCAGTAACCATTTTAACTACCGGTAGCATTTGCATGGAGACTCAATTTTGGTACCAAGTATAGTGCTTTTTTTTTATACTAGGTTTTTGTTATCACAATATGGGAAAAAGAAGGGAACCACCAAAAATAACAAAACTTTACATGGTTAATGAGTTAGAGCCATGTACATGATATGCATGTATACTCCCTTATGCATCAAAAGATAGAGTATCCTCCACTTTTCAGCAAAAGCTATCATAGTTAAACCCTTAAAATCCTTAAGAATCACTGGCAATGAACCAAGCTGATCAGGAAATTCATGGAAGATCTCTTGTCATCAAAGATTCAACTGTTCTTTTCATTCTTGATGCAGCAACAAAGTTCAAAAGAAAGAAGGTTTCAGATAATGGTTCCATGCCATCAGGAAGTCAGCATTCTAAAACCTCTTTTACATCAAAAAGTAATTGAAGATGATGAGTTCCCTTTATCTTCTAAAATGTTTGAAAATAGTATTCTTAATTTCCTTTGATATAGACGCCTGAGACACTGGTTGGCTCTTAATTTTTCTGATCACCAATTCCATGTGGCAAGGTTTCATTTTGAGTATGCAGTCATTGTTTTCCTTCCAAATGCTCCAGCACAATAATGAAGGAAGTGCATTCTATGGTGTATGACCACATTTGCTTTGACATCACATTGGCTATGCCAAACTCAAGCTCCACAATGTCTTCTGGGATTACCCTTTGTCAACTGAAGAATGCTAGGAAATGGCATTTTGTAGGCAAATGAACAATGCATCAACAAGTGGAAAGCTGATTTTTCCTCCACCTGAAAAGAGAGAACCTGTTTACTCTGTCTTTTCCACATGGAATTAAATATGGTAAGGAATTTTTCAAATAAGGAGATAGATATTTTGGAAGGAATATTTGCATTCCAAATTCATTTCCATGGGAAAGGGTCACTGAAGGTAGCCATGAGAACCACATAATAATATTTAACTGAAAAAATACCTTGTATTCTAAATTCTTGAATCCTCTTCCCCCACCAGAATAGTTTAGGTGTTCCAGGAATTAAACCAATATAACCAATGTGTATGCCTACCAATCATTCACATGGCATTGTAATCCAGGAGTCTATCCCACAAGGTGGTAAGAAGTATAGAAGAAAAGGTGGACAATAATTACAATACTTGAATATTACTTTCTTGAACATTGATACATCCTTCTTATCTCTTTGTTGTCACCCATTCTAGTGACACTGACATATTTATCTTCAATTGTGTTGAAGAATCTTTGAATCCATTTTTAGGTTAAAGAGGCCCATTCAATGATTAAATGAAGTTTGCATCCACCACCTACCTAGAGCAGATGGAATTACAGTTGAACTTTAGGCTTTCAAGAGAGAAGTTTTTTTTCCCTCTGCTGAGTTTCTCAAGATCAGCTGGTTCCAAGAAAACTATTAGCAGATCCATTCTGTTATTTCTAAACCCTCTACCTATTCAGATAGACCTGAGTTCCCAAGTGAAGAGCCATAATATTTAAGTTTGATTGTATCTCCATTAGGAGGAGATCAATATCTGGATACAGTAATAAGTGGAAATGAGTTCACTTCCACTACCCTATTTCTTTAAACGGAGACTATACAACTCAATACAACTCAGTCAAGCATTATCCCTAATATTTGATATTTGTTGGTTGTGTAAACAAATAGCATCAACTTTACTTTGTCTATTGCCAATTGCCATATATAAGACTACCTCACTGGACATCCTTTTGGTCTTCTGCATTGCACCATTGATGCCTTTTAACTTGCACCGGATTATTTGTCATTGGTGCCATTTTTAGTTTCTATTGCATATTAGAAAAATATCTTACTTGAGCTCTTCTCAGTTCTCATCTTGTCACCTATTGTTTATTTCCCTAGGTTTCCATAAGTGCATTTGTTTCTGGTCTTACTATTCTTCATGCTATCATTCATCTATCTCAACAACCCCTCTCCTGTTTCTGTGTTCTCAAACTCCCTATTATTTGTTAAACAGGGAATCAATTATCTTTTTCATCCATTGTCATTCTGTTGCTTAGGTTTGGACTCATTTTTTGCTCCCTTTGGAGTCTATTGACCTTGCTTTGATGACGTGGTGGAGTTGATATGGGGTGGGCATTACCCCTTTTATTAAGTGGTGAAAGATCATGTAAAGATGTAGCGACATACTGTGGTTGCTCTTTTCTGAAGGCAGATTATAGACTACCTGGGTGATTATTGATCTGATCATTTTTGAAGCTTCTAACTGAATATATATATATATATATATATATATATATATAAACTATAGGAGAATAGCCGTTCATTTTAAGGTCTTCCTTCTTTCAAAGGCTTTCTAGTCCAGGTCCCCTCTCCTTTGCCTTCATTGTCAAGTGTTATTAAACCAAACTTAAAAGAAAACAGTATAATATTGTATTGCATTCATTAGCAATGGGCAGAACCCAAGAAAACATGTACAATCACCAAAGAACCTATACAGTGAAGTCTGTATAGTATACTGAGTTTGTACAGCAAGATACATAGCAAAACAACCTAAAGTCATCAAATTAAGAAACTGTAAATATGTCTTTGAAAGTAATCCCCCTGAATTCCTCAAGCACCATCATCCAAGAGTAAATGGAGCAAAAAATTTTCTTCACCATTTCATCATTCTCAGCCACCTTGTTGTTTAACAAACTCTGAATCTGATTTCTGTCCATTCATACAGTACATAGGATTTCTGCCAGGATAGAAACCAAATGAGTTTTTCTTTCTCTAATTCTACTGATATCATCCTCTTCTATCTCTCCCTTTTCTATTGATAACTGAGAGAAGGTATCCCACACTAGGGGTCAAGTATCAACTTAACTAATTACATACTTCTATCATTATAGCTTCTAAAACGCATTCCCTTATTTGTAGTTCCATTTCTTTGAGTTCTTCTGCCCCTAAATTGTCTCTCCATGTTTCTAGTTTTGCAATTACCCCTCTCTAGTCTTATCAATTATCATTCTAAATCATGCCATCTGCAAGCAACACAAACCTTGAATGCCCTTTTTATATGCTTGTTAATTCATCCATAATGAATGTAAATATATATAATGCCAATCCTTAGTGTAAACTTGTTTCAACATATTTATTAAAAACATGCTATTACATCATTTTTTCTTGGCCATCAAATTTGTATTGGTATGCTGGGCAGCAAAAATGAATTTTAGAGTTTGGTCAGTTGTATCAACATCAGACAGTGACTTACAGATAAAGAGCCTACCATATTTTTGCAAACTTCAGGGGATGGATGACTCATGTGGCAAGTTGTGACTTGGTACAATATTGTTTGAATTATCTAGTATGGAACTTCAGACTTCATAGGTGTGGCTCCAGTTTGACCAAAGTTATAACAATTTGCATGTGATTGCAACAAAAAATAATTTTTAGAGTTATTGTTAATCAATAAGGGTTGAGATCACCAAAGTACTCACTAACTAGACTTTCTATCTATTGGCCTATTGTTCAATGACCCGTACAGTTTCTTGGTTCCCTATTTGTTGTCTCAGCATGGTTCTGTTTCAATGATGCAGAATTCAGCATATTGCTGAGAAAGCAGTAAAACAAGCTCTTTTTGATTGGTAATCAGAATGGTGAAAATACGAATCAGAAAATGAGGATCAAAGGCTGCCCCAAAATATTTTATGACTCTCTAAGTTGAAAACTGATATTTTTATGATGTACTTTTGTGCTCTTGTCTATACAATATTATATGGTTTAACTGCACAATACCTAATATTTGTACACCTTGTTTTAAAAACACCAGGGCAAGGCACAAGGTTACCTAAAAAAACGTCTTACTGCCCGGGCACTGCCTTGACAAATGTGTATGTATGGCATTTCAATTATTTAATTCAGATAAGGTCTGCACAAAAGCACCACAATCCTCTGTTGTAGGGGATTTGGGCCAATACAATTAGTGGGGGTATGGTATTCAGTGAATCATACTCCTTTTTGTACTAAATGGAAGAATCATATCCCTTTCTGTACTAGTATGGGTTAGTCAGTGTTTTCATAAACACTTTTTCATAGACTGACACGCTTCTAGGAAGTTCTCAATCCAGTGGTATTTGACCTCACTAGATTCTTTTCAGTGATATTTCTTATACCAGTATTGAGGAAACTTGCCATATTATAGTAATATAATCTATTTGTATAGATGGATTAACAATTTTAACACAATTGGTTGAAGCATCAGTATTACACTAGCAAAAGATCTCAAGTGAGACACCGGTTGGCCTTGGTAGCCTTGGTAAGTTGCCAGATTTGGTGGATGCTGAACGCGGAGTTGTAAATGAACTTTGTGTTTGCTGTTGTTGGATGTTGGGTTAAAAACATAGTAACCTATATTGATATGGATGGGGCCAGGACCTTTTCTTATTCAGCTTGGGTGTTAATACTGCAGAGTTGGGATTTTCTATTCAAATGTGTGTCTCTCCGACCAAGGTCTGTTGGGCTGATTGCCCTTTTCTTTCAGGAGTAATATACATGTTAAGCTTCTGCTAGACATAAGCTCCTCTTATTTCTTGACTTGTGTTGTCTAATTTCATCTTTAGCTTTAAATGTGTCCCTTGATTTGAAGGCCATTTGTATTTGTCTCCAATATCAATAACGTTTACTGACAATTTTGTTCTGTGGTTCAGGAAATTCTGGTAACCCGTTTGTAAACCAAGCCTCACATCTGGTCTTTTCGCACAGCAGAAGCAGCTTCATCCCATTGGAAAGAATTGTTTGGCACTATAAATGACCATTGAATCAATAGTTTCCTGTTTCCTTGGATATACAGATGATGGTGTATTATAGAGAAAGAAACCCAGTTACCCAGGTTAACCCAGTTTTCATATTCAACTAACCAGAGTTGTCTCAGATTTTAGGTTGTGGTAAAGGCTAGCAAATCACTGCATGGAGATGGGGATGGAAGTGATCCAAAAAGGGTCTTGGTTCTGTATCCATCACTTTAATTATCACTTTGCAGCTTTATTACTTGTTCCTTTATTTATTTATTTTTTGTTCTTTAGTTCATACTTCTAAGAATTGATATTAAAATCAAAAGATGTGTGAAAGGGAAAAGATAAATAAATTTAAAAAGTGGGCATGTGTGCCATTTTCTACTCATAAATACTTCTCCTGCAAGAGTCAAATATAATAGAAAATCTCCCACCAAAGTGGTTAATCTTATTTTTACTTTTTGAGTTTTCCCTCCCAAGGCATATATTGGAAAACCCAATTGTCTATTTTAATTTCTACTTATATTTAATGGTGCATTGGTGCCCATCAAACCCCTAAAACTCCCACATGCTCGTCACTAGGGGAATCTCTCCCTTTTCAATTCCTCTCCTTTTTTTCTTTTCATTTTCTTCACTATTATTTATTATTAGGTTTATTATCATCCACATTGATTCAACACCTACCCATCTTGAGTACATTTATTACCATTTGAAATGAAAAATGTCTCCAAAGCTCCTACATCCATGGTCGCGTGACTTCCCTTCAGAATCAAGACACCTGGAGTCCTCGAGTGGGCCCCACATTTTCGTATTTGGGACATACCCATGGGCCATTGGTAAGTGGGCTCATCCGAGAGAGCCAACAGCTGATGTCACATCTGATGTGAGAGTTGTTGGAGTTGGGTCTTGGGGATGGGGGGGCTCAGGACTCAGGAGATAGTTGGGTGGGGTAATAAGGTAATCTAAGTGCCATGTCACATCTGACGTGGCTTCTTGGGTCGAAGGCTTGTTCTGACACAGGCCATGTCAGCTTGGACGGGCGGGAACCGGAATCCGGGCCGTCAACGGTCTTCCCGACAGCTTTTAAACCGCTGCTTACTTTGGCAGGGAGAAGGGTTTTCTTTCCTTCTTTTTATTTTATTTTTCATCGATGTATATTTTTCCTGGAAAAGGAAAGGAAAGGAAAAAGGGGCAAAAACCGGATTTAAGTTGAGTTCAGAAACGTAGATTTCGGGATTTGGAGATTTCGTTAATATAATAATGATTATTATATGAAGGGTTTTAGCTTTTACAGCAGAGCACCAGTTGACTGGATTGTATATCCAAAACGCTGGTTTTGAGGGTCCTAAAAATACTGCTTTTATTGCCCCTTGGCGGTTTTTCGGACCGGTGCGAAAGCGCCAATTGGGGGAACTGTTGCTGGTTTTACAATTATACCCTTGACATCCTCAGATGTTTCCGTTGTGGTCCCTCTTTTTGTCCCATATTTACTACATGAACTATAATTTTGAAATTTTTGAAGAAATTCCCGTTAGAAATTGGGTAGCCCTTTTGTAAGTTGAAGTGTTTGGGAGGAAATTAAATTGAATGGAGATGCCATAGACCATGATGTGAATCATTTGATAAAAAATAAAGGAAATGTTTTTGAGAAATCCTTGGGCATGAGCACGTCTAGCTTAAGGATTTTGTAAATGAAAATTTATTTTTAGTGTTGAGCCTGTAATGGTGCCAATTTTAGAAATTAGAAGGCTCCTAATTCAGAGTACTAGGGAAAACAAAAAAGATCCAAACTTGCACCGCAAAAGTGATTTGGAACCATCAAATTCATTTTAGAGTGGAGTCATATCTCAAAATTTTACATGACCATCTACAATATCAGTTGTGGGGGGATGAAAAAGGATTTCGGTGAAAGTCATAAAAAATGATTTAAATGCCCATAGTTTAACGATAGATATGGCATTGAACAAAACACTATTAAAAAATAGGATTCACGTAGTTGACTCCATATAGTTGGGAGTTGGGACAAGGCTTAGAGGATGATGATAATATTATGCAAATTTAAATGTAACAAAAGACTATCTTTTGAATCATTTTTAACAATTCTTAGTCTCAGTCCAAAATCTCTTCTTGTTTGCATTGTATTAAAAATTTATCAGGGCGTTGATCACAAAGGAAAATGGCGTTTATCTTAGCTGATTTCATATAGTTGGGATAAGGCATGAATGATGATGATTGATATTTGCCTCGTTTTTATTCCTTGGGGCTACACAAGGGGAGAGGGAGGGGGGTAACAATAACCCATGCCATAATTTCACCAAATCCTAGTGCAAGTGGGATTCAATCCCAAATATCTTCTACAACCAGCTGGAGACCTTATCAACTAGCCAGTTGGCATCTACGTGTGCTAATATTTGCCTTTCTGTTTAAATTTCCTTTTAGTTGTAATTCGAAATCTGATTTTCTGTCCACGTGATTTTAATATGCCGCAATCATGGGCACAGCTAAATTTTGCGACCACGCAATAAAACATGGTTGATCTGTCCATTTTTCATTGCTGAGTCGCAGGATTTTGCTGTAAGCATGGTGCCAGCAGACGTAAACTTGTGCGGATGGCTTGAACCGAGTATGAATTAAATAAGAACGTTGGCAATAAAATAAAGGAAAAACTTCGTCATTTTTTGTATTTATAAGGGCACTTGCGACATTGCACAAAAGGGGAGTTGTCATAAAGCTTTGTTATTACATAATAAACAAAGGAGTAGTTGTTTTTATTTATTTCTAACAAATTGGTTCTGGCGCGAGTTGCAGAGAAACGTTCAGATTTCAAAAAAAGAAATCCTTTGGCTCATTTCTTCATCCTCTTCTCTTCTTAACTTCTTACTCTTTGATGCTCCACTCCAATTCTGATCTTCTTTCTCTTTGTTTTACGTCGCAATCTCTTTTCTCTCTTTTAACTCTGTTTAGATTAACAACTATATGCATGGAAGGGAGAGAGAGAACGGTCTCTGGCTCTCCGGCTAACACTACCACGGAGACTGAGTCTCCGGTGAGCGGAGGTGGGCCGGGATCGGGAGCAGTGGGGGCAGTACCAAGTGGGTTGGTGCCGCAGGTGATGAACATGGCAGTAAGCATGAGTATGGAGAGAAGCTTTGGAGGAGCAGTGGGGATGGACATGATGGGTAGAAAGAAGAGAGGGAGGCCAAGAAAGTATGGTTCAGATGGGAGCATAGCTCTGACACTCTCACCAGGCTATTCTTCATCTCCTTCCGACTTCTCTCCCAAGCGGAATAGAGGGCGGCCACCGGGTTCTGGCAAACGGCAAATACTTGCTTCTTTAGGTGAGTCAAAGAAAAGCAGAAAAAAATCTGCTAGGATTCTCCTTCAAATGGTAGAGGGTATGCTATTTTTGCGTATTTAATTAAAATTTTTTATAAGGAATCAGGAAGGATTTACTGTACTCATTGATGCTTTTTATGATGGGTTTGTGACAATAAAAATGTTGATCATAATATTAATGGCTTTATTGGATCTTAGGCAGGTTGTTCTATGAGTTTGGGATTTCTATTTTACCCTAATAGAAAACATTTAGAGTATGTTTTTTAATTGAATAAAGAAGTTTGAACTCCCCTAGTCCCCTTCAACACAACAACACAACAACAAAAACAACACGGACAATTTTCTGATTGCAGTCTGTGAATTGATAAGCTAATTATGCCCTTTACCGGAAATTAGTTGAATAAAGAAGACAGGGCAAGCTGACGAATTTTATTAGTTGGAAAACTTTTCTTAGTAATGATGAGATGATGTGAAGAACCACTTAGTAGTCTACATGGAAAGTTCTAAACCTTAACATTTTAGAAGAGATGGATGGATTGGCTTATTCATCAAAGTATTTGTTCTCCATTATAAAGAATGATGACTAGATTGGGTTTCTTTATTCAAATAATTTAGTTCTCACACATAGCCTTTGATTGTGAAGGTGAGTTGATTGCAAATACGGCAGGAGGAAACTTCACTCCACATGTGGTTACTATAAATACAGGGGAGGTAATATATCCTTGTATACTGATATTTTCATTTTGAACTGATCAAGTTTAAATACTTATGGAGAAAGAACCATGCTTTATAAGTTCTGGGATTGAATGACAGAATTCTACTTTGTTGCTTCTAGGATGTTGCAGCAAAGATATTTTCATTTTCTCACAAGGGTCCTCGGGCCATTTGCATTCTCTCAGCCAATGGAGCTGTTTCAAATGTTACAATTCGGCAGCCTGGTTCTTCTGGTGGTATTTTGACATATGAGGCATGATTTCAACCTGTCCTTTTTTGTTTGTTTCTCCTTTTCCTTCTGGATTACTTTGGAACAGTCAGAAAATCTATTTCTTTGAACAGAATGCATGCAGGAATATCTATGATATCAATGCTTGTGTACCTCATGTCCTGATTCTTTACTGTAAAGGTACTAAAAGGTTGTGGTTTATGTAATCAGTTTGTATTTTATAATAACCCATAGGACCAGTCTTTCAAAAGGTACGGCATAAGGTGGGGCTTCAGGACTTCCAAATGCTTGAGATTTGCACCTCCAACACCCATTTTTTTCTAAAAAATAAATTAAAATGATAAAATAGTATCAAGAAGTAGATAGAGTAATAAAGGGTCATTTAATTATGCAGAAAAGATTTTCAACTGACAAACAGAAAAAGTGCAAGTCACTATAAACGACTCAATTAAGATTTATCTTCTTGTTTATCTGATTGAAGAAATAATTTTTGTTCATCAATTTATATTAGAAGCTAAAAGTAGTTGTTATTTCCTATTCAAACAAATGATTGCAGAAAAGGTCAAAGGAACATCTAAACTGCATTCAGGTGAACAAAAAACCCTTTGGTGCCTGTTGGAGAAAATCTTAATGTAATATAGAAGCTCAAAAATATTTTAAACTTAAGTAATTTAAAAGGAATTAGAGGAGACTGATCTTTCTTCTTTTTTCCTGGGTTATCTCTTCAGGAGTTAATGTATTTTACAAGCAACCAGGTAACGATCTCTTGGAAAACTATATAAAAAGGCTAGTGATCAAGCCAATTAACAAAAGGCCCAAGATGATGGCTTTACATTATAAAAGAAGAATTCTAATACCAAAATAAAACTGTCAAAGCATATAAGAAAGGCTAGTGATCAAGCCAGTTAACAAAAAGCCCAAGACGATGGCTTTACATTATAAAAGAAAAATTCTAATGCCAAAATAAAACTGTCAAAGCACTCTCAGCCTCTAATAACAATTACCAAATTACAAATTATTACAAGTCTGCTCCCTAAAGTACCCAAGAGAGTGCAAGACCAGAAACACAAAATATCCAACACCTCTATGAAATAATTTCTCTTTGCTGGCAAAGTCATGTTGATGAGGTTGTTTCACTCTTTCAACAATGAGCAAACAAATGGAATCATTTCTCAATATGCCCACTTTCTAGCTTGGAATTAATGAGAAGTTTCAGAAAGTAGAGGGGCTGATCCCCTATTTTTATCATAGGAAAAAGAAAGGATGAAAGAAGAAAATAATTCATGTTTTGATTGGACAAAATTTTAAGTTCTTCCTTGCTTATCAGTTCAGGTTTTGAAGTATTTGAGGGTTCAGTACAGCATACATGTTCATTGAACCCTAACAAATAAGAAAAAATAAAAGAAACTCGTATTTTAAATCACAAACTGAGTAATTTAGTTTAATAATGTCTATTTTATTATATAATCTAAAAAAATTAAAACTATAGAAGTATATAATAGCACCATGTACAAAATACCTTGGCGGTTAAGTGAGGCAACACTGGATGGGTGCTTTATTGCCTGGGTGTCACCTTGACAACTATAGATTGGCTGTCAAGAATGTACTGTAAAATGGAGAAGCCAAGGCTGGTTGATCTGAAAATATAGATGAAGACAGAAAAATTCTTTAGGGCCAGATGATGTTCCCTTTAACTTGGAAATGCATGGAAGGAATATGCTTATTATGGCTGGAGAATCTATTCAGCAATTTATAAATCATAAGACAAAGAAGATGCAAAGGAGTTTTGGGAACTTCTGCTATACCTATATACAAGAATAAAGAAGATAAATGGAGTTTTTGTGATTACTATGAGGTATAGCTTTGGCTAAGTTGTGAAACTTTGGGGTTGGGACAAGAGTAAGACCAGAAGCTCCTTAAAAATTACTTTGTCTTATGCAATGGGGATTGCCCATCAAGAATGTTCTGTAGCCCAACATGGGTAAGCGTTGATTCTGTCTGTTTCTGAACTGGTGATGGATGACTTAACTAGGCCAAGGTTCAAAGTATCGTTACGTATCGGCCCGTATTGGCCGATACATATCGTTCTGGGACCCTTCCGATATGCCCCTACAGTGGGTGTATCGGGGGTCTGACTGGTTCAAGGGATGGAGGGGTCCTGGACCGGCTCCCCTGAACCAGTTTTGGAAAAAAAAAAAGTAAAAAAACATGTATCGAAATGCCCGATACGCCCCTACCGGTGTATCGGCGTATCGATATTTTGAACCTTGAACTAGGCATTTGCAGGTGGTCAGTTGGTGCAAGTCCTATGCCTATGGAATTATTGATTGATAAAGAGAGAAATGCAACATTACATATGGATAGTGTCTTAAAAATAAAACACTTAAAAGTCAGATTAAGACAGAAAATATGGGGTACAGATAAAAAAAGGAACATGAGGACAAATGAATGGAAAATCAAAACTGATTACCAAGAATACCCTCCATATCACTGCTTATTATAAGTATTGATTATAAGTAAGAAATGGGAAATTGTAGAGGACAGTCAAACTAAAGGAACATTTAACATAACAGCTAGAAAGATTTTCCAATATTAGAATTGGATCCACTTCTGGGAAATAGAAATAGGCCTAAAGATGACAACATGAGGGTAGTCAGACATAGTTGGCTTAGTAAGTTCTTTACATATCCATGATTGCATCAGTAAGGAAATATTTGGTGCAATTTAAGGGCTCCAATAGAACAAGACAAAGTTCACAATGAAATGACTTGAAGTAGTGAGAAAAGACTTGAATGTATGATTGAACTCAAAGGAAAAGACCCAGATAGAGTGGAATGTCCACATAGGATCCATTTACTTGACACCAAGTAGCTGATGTGGGGCTTATATGAGCTAAGCAGAGTTGGAACCCTTAAAAATTATATAAAGCAATGATCCCTACATTTGTTACATTGGTTGGCTTTACTAATTAACGGGTTAAGTCCTTGCATTTACATAAAGTTACATATCCTGTGCTCATAATCTTTGTTACAGGTTTTGAATATCTTTTATTGCTTGAGTCAAGCAAGCCAATTTGATGTGGACTAAGATTAAATAAGCATCACTTTTCTCCTTGCCTCCATACTGTGCCATCCAACTGTAGTTTAAACTTTAGAAATATATTGGCTATTTCTTGCATAAATACAAAGTTTCCTTTGTTAGGTGGACATGTCCATTATGATATTCGTTATTAAAGGTAGTTATTCATTAACAGATCCGATCCTATAATACCTGGATATAATACATGCCTTGAGTACCGTATCAAATATGATAGCAGATACTGCATGAATACTTCTCTACAGAAATAATTCTTAGAGTATGCATGTTTTAACAAAATTATATCATATGTTATAAATTTAATTAAATTTGGCGAGAGACAAGGATTGAGAAATGTCATTTAGCTTCCCAAATTAGATGTGCATGCATGACATAAGTATATTACGTGGGATAACCATACCTGTGTCCCTGTCTGGGATTTTAGGAAATGGAGAGTTGTAACCCCAATTCCCATATCTATGTGTGTCCCTGTCTGTATCTGGGCATCATAAATCCAATCGTGTTTCTTAGGTTCGTTGGAGTTGTCTCCTAGTGTTTCTCAATCATTTATCCTCCTTACTAGCTTAAAATTTCTTGCTTGCTATTGCTTTCTTTCTGCTCCAGCTGTTACTACCAGACTTTAGCTGTGACAGAAGTATTTCGATTATTAGGAGTGAAGACAACTTATGGAAGGGGATGCAGGGTACTTACTATATCAAAATGCAAGTATATGGAAGAAAACCAAAACTTTCTGTTATTTGACCAATATTTAGTCAGGATCTTGGATCAATAGACACCTGAGCTTATGAATTGATTTTCAATACAAAGAAAACAAAGAAAATTCATATTCATAGCTTTGTTTAACCATAAATTTTGTTTTTTAACTTTATTTTCATTTCAAAATGAATTAATCTTACCTATTGATATGGAATGTATAAGTCAAATGAGACAATAGTCATTTAATCTTTTTTTTCCTTTTACTTCTTTTTGCAATACAGGGGCGTTTCGAGATATTGTCCTTGTCTGGGTCCTTCGCAATCACTGATACTGGTGGTGGAGTACGCAGTAGAACTGGTGGAATAAGTGTTTCATTGGCTGGTCCTGATGGTCGTGTGATTGGTGGGGGAGTAGCAGGATTATTATTGGCTGCTAGCCCAATCCAGGTAAGGCCTTGCACTGTTATGTCTGTACAAATTCAGTGCAGAAATACTAAGTGCTTGAAATTTCAAAATGTAAAATTTCCTGACCAGTATGTTCAAGTGGCCTTATGGTCACTTGTTTCTATATGAATTATCTCTTGGATATCAAAAAGTACCAACCCCACTCCTTATAAGAATGCCAAATGACAATACTACCTAACTACACCATTCAGATAGTAACAGCAAACCTATGCACAGGGAAGATCTTCCAAGTTGTAATGGACAGAGAGAAATCATCAATGCAAGCATACATTGAAGTACCATTGATGCAATTATAATTGTTTATACACAGTAGGTACTATTTTTGTACATTAGTGACATGAAAGGTGGGGCAAAATCTGTAGTCTCTATTGGGATGGTTTATTAAAGACTTACTGCAATACTTGTCACACTGCAGGATGATGGCACCTGTCATTCTATGGGTCCTACCTGAGTGATGTCTCAGGCGAAAGAGACCTGATCAAGATGATCCTGTTCACTGGGTCTGTTTTCTCTTACTGGGCCACTTTGCTGTATCTATCTTAACCTCCAAAATAATATTGACAGAGTACATAATTATTTTTATATGACTGGGTTTTTGTTTAATGCCCTTTAGATTTAAGCTTCACAATCACCTTGAAGCAACACTCGGAAACAGCCTCTCTGTATGTGCAGGGGTAAGACTGCGTACATCTGTCCCTCCCCCAGACCCCGCATTGGCGGGAGCCTCGTACACTGGACTGCCCTTTTTAATTACTTTGAAGCAACACAGAGGTGTTATGTTTAGTTAATTGAGTATATTCTTGACATATGTAGTTAAAAATACTCTTCCAAATGCTAAGGTTGCTATGAAGTTTTCAGTGATTAGTGGAAATATCTTACATAGAAATTCGTGCTATTACCCCTCATAACCATGACTTTGATGAGTTCTACCTTGATTAATTTAGTTATGGAGCTTAGTTTAGGTAATGCACCCTCCTTTAATGAGTAGAGTTCTGCTTCAGCATCTCACTTAATGAAGTAATGCTACCATCAGCTTGATAATTATTATAAAATCCATGATTTCATGTGTGCTGTTTGTTTTACCAGGTTGTGGTGGGAAGTTTCATGCCAAACAGTTACAAAGCACACAAACGGAAGCATCTTCTTGAACCTTCAATGGTTTCAGCAGTTCCAGGTGGCCCAGATGTTGTGACAGCAGCAAGACCGATCACTCAAGTAACGCCTAACGATGACACCGCTGTCACCCCAACATCTACATTACCTGAACAAAGCCAGGGAGAAGCAGAGAACAGCGCGGCTAGTAATCCAACCACAAACTCTACTTTCCCTGGTAGTGGTTGGCATGGCTCAGAGCCAACCTTGGAACAGAAACCATCTCCAGACATTAACGAGTCTGTGACTGGGGAATAGCATATGAAATGAAGGTATATACCTCTTGTTATGTTTTGGTTTGTTTAGTTGCCTTTGAAGTCTAATACTAATAATGTGAAAGTTTTTTTTTTCCTGATAGGTATTAGATTAGATGCTTATTGAGGATGGAAGAGCATATGAATGAGGCTTCTTTATCATTGTTGTAACATTTCTGTTAATGACACCAAAACTAGGAAGAAAGTCTGATATTACCCTTTTCATATTGATGTTAGCCTTTTCATTTATGTTTTTTACTTGATTTGTGAACACTGAACAGTTCCTCAGAGATTTGTAGGTTATATGTGGATGGGAAATTTTCTGCTAAAATGAAAACTAATACCCGAAATGTGTCAGCTTTTGATATGTTTTTTTTTTTCTCAACTTCAAAACTACTACTAATCTACAAGAGAAGAATCCATGCAGCCCATGCTGCTTGCCAAATGATCTGAATATTTGAAAGGGTGAGATATGTTATGAATGGGCCTTATTGCAAGAAAGTAGCAGATTGGGGGCCACATGAAAAATAAATGTTTTCTTGAATCTTGAGAGCTGGTAGGGCTGTCAACGGACCTTGAAAGTCCGAAATTTGATCCAACATCTATTCCAATTATCCCGAATTTGGGTGATCTATTTACATAATCGGATTGAATTTGGATTTCTGCATCATCATCATCAACTATATGGGTTGGCTACATGAATCTCGTCTCGTCAATCCATTCTATTTTACAATTTGCATCTAATTAATAGGGTATATGTATATTTAATTCCATCCAATCTAACTAAAATCTGAATCGGATTATATTACAATATAAAGTGATTTTAACATATAAAATTTATAGAATTATATATAAAATACAAAAATAATTCTATATATTATACTATATATATATATATATATGTAAAATTCAGAGTATTGTTATGTATTGACCCGTATAAGCTGATACGTATCATTCCGGGACCCTTCTGATATGCCCCTTCTGATATACCTTTACAGTGGGTGTATCAGGGGTCTGACCGGTTCAAGAGATGGAGGGGTCCTAAACCGGCTCCCCTAAACCAGTTTTGAAAAAATAAAAATAAAAAAAAAGTATCGAAACGCCCGATATGCCCCTACCGGCATATTGAGCGTGTCGATATTTTGATGTATATATTTGTATAATAAATTCAATATTTCATTAAAAGTAATTTACTTTTTTATTTTTTATTTTATTTTAAAAACATAAAACGCAGTCGAATTAAATCTAAATCCAATCAAAGTCTGATAGGATTTGAATCCAATTCGAGGTATTTAAATCAGATTAAATTTCAGATCGGATTCGGATCTTGTTGAATCCAATCTATTAACAGCCCTAATAGCTGGTTTATTGTCTTCAAGTCTTAGCCATTGAATAGAGCTGCAAACGGATCGAATTGAATTGGATGTAGGGTGGATCCCAATTTTGTTTTGCTCATATTCGGATTGTATTCGAATTGAATCTTATTCGTCAGATTTATTTCCAATATGGATAGCAAACGAATAAAACTAATAAATTAAACAAAAATGATCAAAATAATACGTGACTTTGATATTTTATATCATGAGACATGGGCAGAATATATCAAATCGGATTCGGATTGGATAGGGGATTCGGGGTGGATCCATATCCAGTCCAAATTTGGGACTTCGGGTCACTCAAATTCGAATTCTGATTCGGATAAACGGATGTCATTTGCATACAGCTCTAACTTATCCATTAATCACATTATCCTGGACGGTAAACTCATTTTAAGATTCACTAGTCTCAACATCTGCACCGTCGGATCCATCGCTTTGTTCCACTACGTGGGGTAGGGTTCAATTCAACATTATCTGAACCGAACGATCTAATCTAAATCAGGGGTCGAGAACACGGAAAAAGATACAACAACCGCCCCAAATAGGGACACGTATCGTTATGGTGAAGAGCACGAGAATGTGGCAGAATGTTCTAGCGACAGGTCGTACACAGTACGACCATCTCTATCCAGTGTATCCAGCAATCCAGAATCGAGCTCTGCTCTGAAAGTCTGAATCTCACTATAAATCGTCTTCAGCCAGTAGCGCAATCTCAATGTCTACGTGACGTGAGCTACTGGTTGGGTTCAGACGTTCTGTGCTAATTTTCAGACAGTTGCAACTTCAAATCCAGCAATGGCGAGTAACAAACACTCTTCTTCAACGCTGGAAGGGAACTACCAGAAGGAGACGGTGTCGTTCAGGCTGGTGAGCAGAGACGAAGAGGGGAAGAAGAGGGTGGAGAAGGCGGAGGTGAACACCAGCAACCCCGAAACCCTCAAGTACATAGAGAAGAAGCTCCGGGATAAGGGTGTGCAGCGCATGGATCGACGCCCTGTGGACGGCAATGCGCTTCATCATACCCCTCCCAAGTCCGGCCACGGCGGCAAGTTTACCTGGGAGGGCTCCGGTGATATTGCTGACACCGAGCTCTCGCCTGTACCGCCGGCGATCGACGAGGGGGATCCGAACTATGTCGACGAGGAGGTAGAGGAGCGCATCTTGAAGGGTGAGGAGCCTGATGTTGATGGTCTGGTTGTGGGTGAGGTGGAGGTAGCCAAGGCTGCTGGGGATAGGGTGGGATTGGCCAGGGTTGAGGTTGAGCCTGCTCTTCTGGCTTAAATCTGTCATCCTTTTTTCCTTCTGTGATTTCTGTGGCCGAGTCTTTTCTTCTTCCTGTTTTTGTTTTGTGTTTTTACATCAAGGATCCAAGGATCCCCCTGTGTATATGTATGGACTAAGAAAACAGAGAAAAGGAATTAGTTTGATCTAAATTAATGCTCTCTCTCTCTCTCTCTGAATCCTGCAGAGCAACTTTAATGGGGTTGGGCAGAGAGGAACTGAATATTGAATTGAGCCACCTCATTTTGATCATCATCTGTGGATTTTGAATTTCGTTTTGGGAGAATTGGCTCCCCAAGAGAGCGAAAGCTGAAATATAATCAATTGCAAATAGCATATAAATCTTTATAGAGCTAACAACAATGGCTCTCTGGTTGTGTGTTGATGATGGTAAGCCAGTGGGATCAGGATCACACATTGGCGAACAATTTATAATTCTTTGCATCCAGACTAATTTGTCGAACAGCTGCAACTGCTGCTATCACCCCTAACACAGAGAACACAACAGCGAGAATGGTGTTCACCCAGAAGATTGGGCCTCGCCGCGATGGCCTGAATGTCAAGTTGAAGAACACCGAAGGCAAGATGAAGTCCAGAGGGATGAACCCAAAAGCTCCGATCATCGCGTTGATGTCTCCGAAGAACGGAAGCATAGCAGCGACGGTCGTCGCAATGACGACCGACAACGATCTGGAAATCAGCCTCGGCACGACGTTGCGAATGGAGAACTCATGGCTCATGGGGTCTGCGAACGTCCGCTCAAGCACCTCGTTTGTAGGCTGCAAGTAGACCTGCACCAAACATTGCATCAGAGCTTAGATGATTGCTAGTTGATCGAGTCATTTGCGCTTGTTCTCAGTCTTGGTTCTTATTCGATTCTTACCACACCAACAGCTGATAGTTGCAGGAGAGTGAAGATATTGGTCATCATAAGGAACCACTTGGGCACCAAAGGCTTGCCGTTGTCCAAGAAGTTGCTGAGAACGGTTCCCTCTGCTTGATTGCCGAACGCCCAGTAGCCGGAGATGCCAACGCTGAAGAAGGTGACGATCACCACCGCGTAACAGACAGACAGTCCCTTGAACATCTTGCCCTTCACCGGAGGTGCCAACGTTGCCTGCAATTGAGCTAAAGTTGATCGACAGTCCAACAACTGAAACTAAATCACAGTTTCCCGAAAACCCAGATGGCCCAGAACCTGTATCTCGGGGATGATTCCATTCCCGAACGTGGTGGCGATGATGGCGATGGCATTGAAGATACCGAAGAGACGATTTGTTCCATCGCTGTTCAATGAATAATCTTTGGTTGGGCCTTTGGAGGAATCCCCTGTTACACAGAAAATCTTGTTTAGCTGTGAAATCAACATTAACTAGTTGATGGATTGGTCTGAATTCTGAAAACCATCTGTTCATCAGTTTAATTTGGGTACCTATGTAGATGGAGCCGGCCGTGGCACAGGTGCTGTAGGCAAGACAGAGAACCAAGGAAATGAGGTTGATGTGCCTCAGCGAGTGAAACGATGGGACTTGAGCCAGCAGCAGCATAAAGCATCCAAATATGACTACGAACTGGTACAGCTTCATGCTTCCATCTGGTGTTGAAATCTGGTAGATTGTCTGCAGAAAAAAAAAAAAAGAAAAAGAACCCGATTCAATGGTTCATAGTCTCACACACTTTGGGCCTATGGCCCATCCAGCAATTGGGCCCAGCTATTGGGCAAGTAATGCAGAACAAAAGATGGAGAAGCTGACCTTCATGCACTGACCTCCCAGGAGGGTGGATCCAACAACAGCACCATAGCAGACCAGAAACTGAATTGGGCCCACATAATATCTACCCCATCTTGGCCCTGACAAATCCAACCGTTAATACAGCACCTCTGTGTTTCTTTAATACTTTTTATAGCATAAACAGGTAATTTTCTATCCAAAGTGCTGAATTAATTTTGTCACTGAATTATCTATAACGAAATAAAAAAAAGGGGAAAAATAGATATAATAGGGGCTCTCAATGGACCCGATATTGGTTCAATCGGATCCGGTCCAATATGAATACTTTAGACTATTTTGAACTGGTCCAATTCAATGTCTGAACCATCCAATCTGTTCAAATTGATTTTAGTTTAGATTGATATCTAATCTAAACCTGGTTCATTGACACTTGGTTTAATCTGACCTAATCCAATATGAATTCATTATAGATGGACCAGGTCCAATGCAACCCGAAAAAAAGTTTTGGACCATTAAATCTGAACTGATCCAATTTAATATGTCGTATTGGTCATTCAATCCATCTAAATTAATTTTGATTTGAAATTTGAATAGGCTCTAACCCAAAACCATATAGGTGCCCTTACTTTGGGGGTAGTAACACTTGGGGCCTTAATTTTCAAGTGTGACAAACAAATAACTAAACTTTCAAAAATCACTACTCAAATAAGTTAATTTTACAGTGAATGGTAAAATTATCAAACTGTTAATTTTAAATTCCTTTAATGCAGTCTTGGTCAGTCTAGTTACTCTAGTAAAGTGTAAAACTTGAAAAATCCCCTCATGATATCATGTGTTGGAGATAACTGACAAAATGAAAACTGGGTCACACTGAAATGTTAGAGGCCCTTAAATTAAGGCTGTGTTTGGTTTGAAAGAAAAGGTAAGGTAGAAAAACCCATACAAACTTTATATAGGTTTCCTTACTTTTTTCCTTCCTTTATTTATTTATTTTTTTTGTATTTTCTTTCAAACCAAACACAGTCTAAGTGTAGCCCGAAGTATAATTTACTTAACTGTGATTTTCCTTTAAAAAATGAAGGAAGAATCAGGTAAAAACTCGTCCACAGCCCAATCATATTACGCTCTGCTGGCTTCTGTGTTTCAAATTGAAATCAGACGTGTTGATGAGTTATTTTAAACAATAAACAATCTTGCTATTTTAAACAATAGACCGGATCGGACTGAACCGCCGGTCTGCTAGAATTGCGTTAATGGGTGGTTGATTAACCTCTACATGCTTATTTTGATGTAAAAGTAGCCTTAAAAGATCCTTTTTTTTTTATTTGAGCAGACCGAATGATCAAAATGAACCATTGAGCCCAAAACGGTTCGAAGAATCTGGTTCTAGTCGGACCAAATTGAGGAAGTACTAGTCTAAACTCTGAAGTTTGAACTTTGAAATGTGAAGAGTTTTGGTGTATTGGTAGGTGTGATGAAGGTAACGTTGTGGTGAGCTCATGAGCTGCTGACTCTGTGTTCTCTGAAGCAACAACTTCACCTAATCCAAGTTAGGATTCAACTTACCCAGAATGTCAGTGGCCATGTCCCTGAATCGAAGGTGACGGTGGCCCTTGTGGGCATGGTGTTCCAGAACCAGTGAGATGAGATTGTAAGAGTAGAACGTCACCATGGCTCCTATGATCAGAGACAGAACTCCGGCGACCCAACCCAGCGAGGCCAGCGCGAATGGAAGACTCAGAAGAGGCGGAGCCACGATTGATGTCGTCAAGTGGTAGCCGCAGTGTAGCCATGATCCTGCAAGCCCAAGCTCATGTCAAAGAAAGATAAAAAGATGCAAATTAAAGCTCGCTGCTTGTACACAGGAGCCCAAGCCACAGATGTTTGTTTTGTTTTCCAATTAACTGACACTTTTGTGGGATTAGCAGAGCAATCTCTCGGGGATTGAGAAATTGATCAGAGAGAGAGAGAGAGAGAGAATATGTATGTCAAGATATTCCTATGAAGATATATATAATTTCTGAAGAAGTGTCTGTAATTAGCACCTTTGGATTTGAGAACGAAGAGAGCTCCGGCATCGAGTTCCTTCTGCTGGTGAGGTTCGACTGCAGGAGACTGGGGACCCTCTACATAGTCTCCCTGAAGAACTCCTACTGAATTCGGATTAAGAGTGCTCATCTCTGTTTCTCTTCTCTCTCTCTCTCTCTCTCTAGATCTCTCTCTGTTTGATCTCTAAGAAATTGAAGAAAAAAATCAGAGAAAAAGGAGAGAACCAACTGGTTCAAGGAGGCTCCGCCCGTTGACCGTTCTCCTCAACCAAAGGGAGACGTAACAATTATTTAAAGGCGTTGGTGGTAACACTGCATTTGTCTGAAACTTTGGCTGTCTAAATTCTGACCATGGCACTATGGCAGTGTCGGCACACGGATGAGTGAGATTATCCGGATATCCATGGGTTGGTCTCCTTTTGTTTCACATGTCAGGGCAGCTGACTGGTAGAAACTTTGGCTGTCTAACTTCTGACCATGGCTGTGTTACGGGCTATGGGACCACTAGAATGAGGAGGGGTAGCATGACCCAAGTTAAACGGCCAGGAAGGGAAAGATAGGGAAAGGAAGGGAAATATAGACTTAGCTTCTCTAAGGCTATGTTTGGTCTGAAAAGGGCAGATGAATTGTTTCAGTAGTGGTGCAGTTTCGAATCTTGCTATTATCATCTCTGTAAGAGCTGATTAATACAAAAATAGGCATGATTATAAGACAATCATGATTCAAAGTATTGATACGCCTTTGTGTATCAGCAGAAGTGTATCCGTACTTAGATACATGCTGAAATACCTTTTTTTAGTTTTTCTTTTTCAAAATTTAGTTTTTAATTGGGAATATATTTAAACATATTTTTTTATTAAAAAATAGTGGGGTTCCGAAACACCTGTAATCGAGACCCCCAAAGATATGATATGATACGCTCAATATGGGGCATATCGTATTGAAATCTTGAACCTTGAGAATAACTTAGATCTCCTATACTCACAAGAATCCTATCCACACCTGCCCACATGACACTATAGCTGTACATACAGAACATTTCTCCATGAATGATAACATGCAAATACAGGAGATGTTCTCAATGTAGAACTATATATAGTGAACCGGGGGTAGGTGTGGGTATGAGATCCGAACTGATTGTAGGATACTGTAAGCATGCTTCGCCTGCAATCTTCATAACATTCTCGAAGGAAAGTCCCAAGTAGTCCATTGATGATTATGCCTGGATCTCCTTGATGAATTTTGGAAGGATAGAACTTTGTTGCAACATGACTATGCCTGAAATCTCCTTCAATGATGAAATCATGGCTTTCCATGTATTGTGTGGCCCACCTTAACTTCGTCCCATTCAAGGTGTGGGGCTACAACAATATATTGAAGGCCATGATTCACGGTTTTAGCTCTAGACTAGCCAACAGGAACAATAAATATTATCCATCTCTCAAGTTCAACTAATCCATTCTCCAATCAAGTGAACAATTAATCCATCTGTTTGTTTTTACCTGAAAATTTGGGTTGATCAATACAAATTTATGAGAGATTTTTTCCTGGGTTGATCAATCCCATACATGCATTTTTCTAGTTGAAGTAACTTTGTTTGTGATGTGACAATACATATTTTTTACCAATTTGTAGTGATCAATCCATTTCAGTCAAAAATAGTAGTTGTACCAAACACAACCTAAATTATGTTCGTTAAGGATGGCCTAAAACATGGCTTGTCCAAATTTATTGGTACAACCAATTTTGTTGCTTTGATGTGTAAGAGTTTCATTCTCTTCTCTTAGGTTTGAGTTATGCCTTCTCTCCAACGATGGCATTCCAAAGTCTTCTCCTAAATTCAAAATCTAATGGAAAATAGGCTATTCTAGACATAAAATGGTAAGTATTCCAATTTTTATTGCATTTCGAATACAAGATTTAATGATATATGTTTGCCTCTAGGAGTGAAAGTCGGGACTAGGGGTGCAAATCGGGCAGGCTGGGTTGGGTTTTAGTTCAATCCAGACACAACCCTAAGAATTGGGTTTAAAGCCTAAGTTTGGTACTTGAGGTTAAGCCTGAACTACCCGAACTGAGCCCAATCTGCACTTAAATTTGATGCACACAAGTTGGACTTGGGCCTGGGCCAAGTATGGGTTGGTTGATCAACCCACACTAAAAATTGATATACATGTATAAACATGTATATGGTTTCCTTAAAAATATATGTATATATGTATGCATGTAAATGTGTATATGTATATATATATGTATATATATAATTGGGTTAGGCTTGGGTCCCGAGTCCGACCCAAAAAATTAAAAAGCACAAACTTTTGGACTCAACCCTAATCTAAAGACCAAAAATCCAAACCCAATCCTTACAAAATTCTGGGATAGATCCATTCATGCTTGAGTTGGATCCGCCCAAATTTCACCCCTACATGTGAATTTTCTAAACTAGTGATGATTATTGCAATGACCACTAGATTGGGCCATAGGTCAATTCATTGCTTTCATGATTGAGTTGTTGCAGCGATTTTTGCCAACTGGTGTGAGAGGGAAGTCGGAGGAAACCACTTTCTTCTTCCCATTACCTATTTTGAAATAGAAGAGTGAGAAAATTGAATATATTCTTCATTTAGAGAGATGATGAATGTATCCTTCAACTCCAAAACAGCTTAGATAAACCAGCTATGATAATTAATAACCAGTGGAGACCTTCTCTCCATTTTAAGACTAAAACTCTTTATCTAAACAAAACACCAATTCCATGTAATCCATGCAACTGGCCATGTATCATGAGGTTCATAACACTATTATTGTGTATTCAGGTTCTAATTGTTAAAGAGATGGGGTTTTAGTTATACAAAGTCGTTATTATTTTGGATGACAACATTTAGTGCCTTGTAGCAATGTTTGCTATTTGAAAAAACTTTGGCTCTTACTTGGTTGGAGGAATGTGGAATGTGTCCAGTGTTTAAATTTAGAATTTAAGGTTTAAGGTTTAAGGTTTAGGATTGTGGTTAAATGCACTTATCTGACATGGTAGGAATGAAATAATGCTCATTGATGTACTTTCAACATAATTTATAGCCATACATCTCAAACATGTTTCTTCGCACTCATTGATGGGGTGATATGAAACATGTTTAAAAAATGTGTGGCTATAAATCGTGTTGGAAGCAAGTTGGAATGTGTTCTATTGGGACCAGATCCCAACTCGTGTTAGTGGAAAAATTGTCACACTAGATGGTTTTATGGAAATAAGACTATTGTTGTGGAAAGTAGGATGTCGAGATTTCAGTGAATACTATAAGCGGTTAGTGTTAAATAAGGGTCCGTTTAGTTTATAGTCAAAATCAGAATCAAAATCCTCTAGAATCAGAATTGGAATGGTCCACTCCCATAGTCTGTTTGATTTAGACAGGAATGGGATTTCATTCCCAAGAGAAGGGTAAAGAATGGCCATTCCCTCAAATGGGGGAATGCTATTGTAGAAGGAATGGGAATGAGATTCCTATTCCATCTAACCAAACAGTTGGAACCGGAATAGTCCATTCTGATTCGGATTCTAGATCCTATTCCCACGAACCAAATGGGGCTTAGCATATCTTGCAGAGCCTGAAGTGATGACTGATGAGTTCAGATCTATTTCCAATAAATGCTCTCGATACTATTCTAACAAGGCCATTACAGTTGCACATTGGGCACATCTCCCCATGAAGTTCAAATCTGCTTCTCATAGCACGTCTCAGTTGTGCATTGAGAACATCTCCCATACTTGTGTGTTATTATTTGATGGTGCACAATCTGGTAGCTCCTTGCTAGAGGATAGCTCGAACGTCGGATTAGGTAGGTCGCCTTGCCGAGTTGCAAGAAAAGTTGATCGGAGTGTCTGGATTGTTAGACCCGGGGTGGGAACTCCGATGCTTAAGTTAGCAAATTGATAACTGTTTGCAAGAAAGCAAGAAAGTTGGAACACTTTGAGAGCTAAATCGCGCATACCTTATGAGGTTGGAAGTGAAACCTTTATATAGGAATTGTTTGGCGTGAGCTTCTAGAGGACCGGTCCGAAGTCCTCTGAGGTAGTTTGGCATGCTGACTAGGTTTTGTGCTTTCCTTCGGAACATTCAGTGTGCGAGCTAACTTTCGAAGGACCCGAGAATGATATGACGCACGTAGAGGAGGTCAGCGAGCACGTCTCATAGGTCGCCACATGGACCTCAGTCAGGTCGACAAGTCCTTAAGGGAGGTTGCTCCTCACATTGAGGTCCCTTGGACCAGTACTAATGAGGTACCATAGGTTGGCAAGTCCTCAAGGGAGGTCGCTTCTCATGCCAAGGTCCTTTGGCCTAGTAACAACGAGGTACTAGAGGTACCACAAGTCGGCCCTGGACGAGGTGCTACTAGCCGCCCTACCGAGGTGCCCTGTCGAGGTGCCTGAGTTGTATATGAGGTGCCCTAGACTGATTCTAGGGTGCGTCTCCTTGACGTGGCAAGATAGGCGACTATCCGCATGGTGTTGAGGTGTTAAGCAGCGAAGACGAATGCCACGTTTCACTAGGCGACTGTTTGGCATCATTGTCGTGTCCTGGAGCAACGACACCACATTAGCGCCATGCAAGAAAAAACGGTGCTCCAGGAAACATCCATATGTTTGGAGCCATTTTTCCATAGAAAACAGTGCTCCAAGCCACGCCTTGGAAATTGAGAAGGCATGGCTTGGAGCAATGCCAAATTTGATGTTTCCTGGAGCTACAGCTTATTGGTGCCAACAGGGCAGTGATGTGGCACTCGATAATGGGTAGAAGTGCAGAAAATGTTTCCTGGAGCATTAATACCAAACAAAAAAAGCTATTATTGCTCTAGGAAACGTCTTACCTGACAGCAACAATTCCGAACAAAAAAAAAAGGCATTACTTTTTGGAAAATGGTGCTACAGCATCAATGCCAAACACTAGTTAAGTAAATGGAGAGCAAAATCACCCTTCACCATTATTCATGGGAAGATATTTCTAATACATGATGGGATGTGCTGTAAAATCGGCATGAATTGTCAAAATTTAGACAGCGAGAGATGTTTAAATGACCGAGAGATGTGACCTTTGACGGTTAGAGAGCAGAAGTCATTATTTCAAAAGAGAGAGATTAGCTGTCGGGGCTCGTTTCATGGTCAGAAGTCATGGGCTAGCTGTACATACATGGCTGGTCAAATTTGGATGTTTCTTACTGATTCATGTATATTCCTTTTTGTTAGGCCCTTGGGAGATACCAGATTCTCTACGGTTCCACATGCCACATCAGCCCAACATCTAAGCCTCACACATACAGGCTACAGTGTTATGAATAGAATTGTCGGCTGATTCAGTGGCTGTGGATTCACACCAGGCTCATTGGCTGTA